GGGGGGGGGGGGGTGGTTCCTGGAGGGAGGAGGGTCTTGTCCCTATCAGCTAGTTTGATGAGCTGGTTCCAAGAAGGGAGGGGGCCTGACCAGAGAAGGTCAGAGCTCGGTGACCCTGAGCGCTGTCCCAGGTCAGGTCAGAGAAGCCCCCGGTGCTCCGAGGACAAGCTCAGGGCTGCCCGTGAGTGGGCGGGAGCCATCGTCTCCAGGCCCCAGAGAAAGCAAGAGCTGGGTGGCTGGGGCTGGACGAGGCGGGTCCTGAGGGTGGCCACTCAAATCTGCAGGTTCTCCATGGAGGCCCAGGCCATGCAGCGTCAGTGCACCTGCTGCCAGGAGACAAGGGTTCACGAGGAGGTGGTGACCATGCAGTGTCCCGATGGGACAACGGTCCAGCACACCTACACCCACGTGGACGAGTGCAGCTGTGCTGCGTCCTGCGTCCCTGCTCCCGAGGCTCCCGAGGACAGCACCCCCATCTTCTCGATCTAGGGGTCCACCACTGGCTGTTGCCATTCTGACCCCATCCCACAAGCTCCCTCCCTCCCCCTCCGGAGCCAGAACACTCACTACCCGACCGCGGACAGCCGGGCCAGCCTGCTGCAGGAGTCCGAGCACACCCTCCACCCGTGCCCTCGCGACACCTGCGCCCTGGAGGTGGTGGTGCCATGACGGCCTGCCTGAGGGGGGCTCCAGGAGGGGGCCTTGCCCTCGGAGCCCCTTCAGCACGTCTTGGCCACCTGCCTGGCCATCAGGGCCGACCCCTCATTTGAGACACAAGCGCCTGCTCCGTCCGGACTCGCCCCCTTCTTGGTGTCAGAGGTGTGCCCCATAGCAAAGTGCGCATCAGCTGCCATGCTGCTCCCCGCACTGTGGGCCTGAGTGCCCCCCTCCTGCCCCCCCCGCTGCTCCTCAAAGCCCCGGGGAACAGATTCCTGCTGGCCACCTCCTGCAGCAGAATTCAGGCTGAGGCCCGTCCAGGCAAGGCCAGGCCGGCAGCCTCCAGGGAGCGGTGCCAGGCAGGCCCATGTCTGGACCCAGGCGTGGGGTTACCATGGCCGACAGGAGGGCCCCGGGCAGGGGTGGGGGGCGTCGGAGCTCCCTCTGCTCACTCCGCCCCGATCTTGCAAATAAACGCTGAGCATTGTGTACATGTCTCGGCCCTGGAGTCTTTTCCGCCAACTGAGTGCCCCCCTCCGTGTGTCTGTGGGCCAGGCAGGGCCCCTCCGGCTGTATAGCACCCCCAGGGCTCATGCCGGACCCGCTGGGAGGGACAGGTGGGTGAGGGGCAAGGAGGCCCCTCGGGGTCAGTCTTGGGCTGTGGGGAATTGGCTGGGGCCTGGCGTGAGTCGTCATTTCGAACACACGGGATTTATAAGGAGACTGTTTCACTGGTGTCGGAACACTGGAAAACCCGCGGGCAGCGTGGACGCAGCCCGGGGCCGTGTCAGCGCAGGCAGTAGCTGCCTCGTGGGCTGGGTGCACACGGAAGAGGGGTGCTCCGTGCTGCCCAGACCCCAAGGCAGCTGCTGGTCGCTGCAGGGCCTGGCCCCGGCCCGGGTCTCACTCGGTGTGTTTTCTTCAAGGCACCTGCCCCACCTCGACTTGCTCTACGAGGGCCCTTCTTTTCTCATCTCACCAGGGAGGCGGGGGCAGGGGGCAGGGATCTCTGCCTTCTTTTCTGCCGCTCTACCCAGAGAGCGCCACGTGCACATGGTGGGTGTGGGAAGGATGGGGGAGCAGGTGGGGGCGCAGACAGGAGACGTGCTGACCAGACACAGAAGGCGCCCCACTTACCTGGGCCAGAAGGACGAGAAAGACCCCCAAGTGGGCAGAGCTGGTTTCAGGGGGTACTGCCGCCTGGGGAGGCAAAGGACGCTGCTGGTGGGGGCTGAGTGGGAGGGTCTCTCCCCCTCCCTGAGTCACATGACCTGCCTCTGCACTCAGTGTGGCTCCCATGCCCCCACCCCCACCCCCCACGCCAGGGGAAGGTGGGGCTGGGGGCCCAGGGAGAAGGGCCTGGGCTCTCTTAAGGCCACTGCTGTGCTTTCCTACGATCTCAAGAGGTCCATCCAGGGCAGGTCACCCTGGGCCCTGGCCGGCCGGAGACGGCTCGTGCAGCAAATGAGGCCTGCTGCCCACTCTTGGGACCAACTTCTGCAAGCTTACCCTGAACTTCTGGTCTGATTTCCTGAGTCTTTGTTAACCCCCGTGCAAAACAACAGCATTCCTTCAACGCCTGTCATTCCCATGGTACACTCTCTTCCTTAAATAGATGTACTTCTTACCTAATTTAAACATGTTCCTAAGGGACCGGGAACATGAGCATCTCTTGCCGTGGACAAGAGCTCGTGTCCATGAAGTGCAGCTCCTGCGGGGTGGCACCCGATGAGCATGAGCCATTATTTCTCCCGCTTTACAGGTGGGGACACTGAGGCAATGGAAACAATGGAAACACTCGCTTCAGTAAGGGTGAAAGCCAGGCTCCGTCCAGGAGATCTGACTCCAGAGTCCACACCGTCAGCCACAGGGCTCCACCGTGGCCCTGGAGGAGGTAGCTATAAAAACCAACACAGCGCATAAAGACAAAACACTGTTGCTTAAACTTTAAATATTTTTGAAAAGGGATTTCTGGTTTCCAGATGGAAAAGTGGGCACGTCTTCCCCCACAGACAGAAAAACCACGACAGAGATAGAAAGACATTTTAAAATAGAAGAGCTGAAAACAAGAAAGTGAAACCGACAGACGTCCTGGACAAAAGGTTTTGGGGGACGCACCGTGGTGAGAGGGGGCCATGGCCACAGGGCAGTACTTGGACAGACATGTGATGACGATGACCTTTCCGAACTGAAGGCACTCAGGGAGTGCCGGGAACGGGAAAGGAGAGGCCAGGTGGTGAGGTCTGAGGGTCCCGAGGCAAAGAGAAAAGCTCAGAGCTGCTGGAAGGACAAGACCGCGTGCTCGCCCCCCAGGGAGACCGGGACCAGCACCGGGAACAGCACGACGGAAACTGCCTTTGAACGCTGGACTCCACACGCGAGTAAACTCTCGTTTAAAAGCGATAATGAAAACACGGCATTTTCAACAAGCCGGGACCCAGAAGGCTGGCATCTCACCAGGCCCCATGTGGGACCTAACCAACAGGCAGAGAAACCACACCACACCGTCGCCTCTCAGAAACCCACACACGGGACGCACGAGTTCACAATTTTAATGCGTCAAAGTCGCCAGTATCTTTTTTCAGGCTGGTGCTTCTTGGCCCTATTTCACGCAACTTTCCCCGCCTTGGGATCAGAAATATGGTCTCCTGGATTATTTTCTAGAAGCGTGACAATTTTGCCTCCCACCTAAAGAATTTTTTAAGCTGGGATGAAATATACATAACATGAAATTTACCATCTTAACCATTTTTGAGTACACAGTTGGGTGGTATGAAATACACTCGCCCGTCCCTCATCCCCACCATCCATCCCCACGATCCTTTTAACCTTGTAGGAACCGAGAGACCCTATACCCAGGAGGCAGTAGCTCTCCACTGGCCCTGCCCCCCGCCCCAGGCAACCGCCGTCTACCCTCTGTCTCTACGGCTTCCGCGACACCAGGTAACTCACACGGGTAGAATCCCACAGTACTTGCCTTCTCGCGACTGGCTTATTCACCGAGTGTCCGTCCTGCAGTTTCAGCCATGATGTCGCAGGTGTCAGCGTCTCCCTTCTTCTATGACTGAGCACCATTCCGCTGTGTGTACGTATCAGATTTGGTTTATCCGTGGCCGCGTGGGTGGCTTCCACGTTTCAGCTGCTGTGGAGAATGCGGCTCGGACGTGGGTGTGTCCTCAGGACCCTGCTTTCACCTCCTTTGGGCTACACTCAGAGGTCAGATTGTTGGATCGTGTGGCAGCTCTAATTTCAATTTTCTCAGGGACTGCCATACTGTTTTCCACGGCGACTGAGCGAATTTACGTTCCCAGTAACGTACGAGGTGTGGGGGTGCTGATTTTTCCACATCACCTTGCTTGCTACTGTCACTAAATCCTAGCCGTCCTGGTGGATATGAACCAGTATCTCACGGTGGTTTTAATTTCGTTTTCCTGACAACTGGCGATGTGGAGCATCTTTTCGTGTGTTTGTTGGCTACCTGTATGTCATCTTTGGAGAAATGTTTATTCCTTTGCCCCCTTGTTTTTAATTGGATCGCTAGGACTTTTTTGTTGTTGACTTCAAGAAGTTCTCTGTATTTTCTGGATTTTAATCCTTTGTCAGATGTATCGTTTGCATATATGTTCACCCATTATGTGCACTGACTTTTACTCTGTGGATAGTGTCTTTGGGTGCACAAAATTAAAAAAAAATTTTTTTTAATGTTTATTTCTGAGACAGAGAGAGACAGAGCATGAGTGGGGA